GCCTGGCCATTTTTTGGTTGCAGCCATCATTGTTGTTTGGCGTGCCCGGGCTGGGGATTCGAACCCGCCACCTTAGGTGTATGTGGCTGGCACCTTAGCCGCTTGAGCCGCAGGCGCCGAGCCTCAAAGCAGTTTTAGAACTCTCTTTCTGGACTGGCCATCAGCACAGTCATTGTATTACTGTTGATGTCCTGAATGTCATCAAAATGTCTTCCTTTCAATATTTCCTTTATCTTCAGGTAAAGAAAAAAGTTATTAGGGACTACGTCAGGTGAGTAGGGAGAGTGTTTTAGTACAGTTATTTATTCACTGGCTAAAATCTCCCTCACAGTCAGTGTAGTGATGCAAGAGCCATGAGTTGTTGGCCAATATTTTCCTGCTTCTTTATTAATGTTTACTTGGTCTGCTATGCTTCTCACAGCCAGCCGTCAATTTTGATGCACAATTTGACAAATTTTTGCACTGTTTTTGGCAGTTCTTGTTATTTGCCACTCTGACTTTTCTTTGTCAATGACACTGTCTCTCCTCAGAAAAACATTTAATACATTTTCTTCATGGTATTCTTCCCATGACCTGGATTAATATGTCCCTGATTTCACTTTCACTCTTGCCAAGTTTAACAAATTTAACATTCGTTTGTTGCTCTAATTCAAGTGGTTATGGCACACAAAGCATACAAAAATAATGAACATCACCCAGCAAGACACCATCACAAGCCGCAGGAACACAGCTGTGAGACATTGATATACTAAGGTTATGAAACCTTACTGAGTTGTTTGTACAGTGCTGCCAACATAAGCACATAAAGGCAAGTTCATGACCTTTCATGTCCAACACAAGAGCTCAGGGCATTTGATCTGTAGAGTTTCCCCCACAGTCCTGATTTGATGATTCTGCCATCCTGGTAGAGGTCAAGGTGTTCCTCTGTTTTCCTTTGTGGATGGGCAGCTAGATGCAGAGGCTTGCTCAGATTTGGTTCTGCTACTCTGGCAAGACTGTAGGTAGTAGTGTGTTTATTCACAGAGGTGCACGGTGTCTGTTTATCTCTGTCTTTTTGTAATGTGAGCAGCCATTCATGCCCATTACCTAAATCCATTAATTCTTTGGGTGTTGTAAAAGGGTAGAATTCTAAAGAGATGATTTCTATCATCTATTCTCAGGTACCCAGTTTATTTAGGAAAGACTAGACATGTGTTGAGTCTTTCCTTTAATTACCAGTTTGTGACAATTCATTAATTCCCATTTTTCCCTAACAATAAGTTAGATTAAAATTATTATGGGCTTGGTGCCTGTAGCTCAAGAGGTTAGGGTGCCAGTCACATACCCGAGCTGGTGGGTTTGAATCCAGCCCAGGCCTGCTGGTGAGACTCTGTCTCAAAAAAAAAAATTATTATGAATTTGATGTATTTAAATGTTTGATGGGTTCCAATCCATTGCAATCATCCTTTTTAAAGCTCACGTTGTTTCATGTTTAGGCAGTGGCAGCCTCTTTAAGGTGATTTCTGAGCATCTTCAACATGGTCTTAGTCATCAATAGCTTCCTCAATGCATGGTATAAAAAGATGTTCCAGATTCATATTATACATGGTATCACCCATTTCTCCACCATAGTTTTTAATTTTTTAAGTTGGAAGTGTTTTAAAAGCATAATCTAAGAATTTGGATTGCTAGTGATGCTCAATACAACCGAATTGTCATTGTTTCTAAATCATCTCTTCCCCATTCCCCCCACACACATACTCTTGCCTCTTCATAAAATACCTCTTGAGTTCATATTGATACTTCTCATTCAAATCCAGACTACAGCCTTTCATTTTAATGTTTGAATGTTTTCTGTACTGACTCATATTATATCCCCCTTCTTTCATATCAAGGGTTCTGGTTCTCAAGAACATAGGAAATGATAGAATTTCTGATATCTGATATTTTACCAGTCTCATATTACCTACATGCCAGTCTCTAACAATAATGATACTATCTATACCAATATAGTTATTATTTTTGCATAATGTGTTTCCATTCTCCTTCTGTCCTTTTTAAGAACTGTAGTCTCGCCACATTGCCTGAGCATATAGACCAGGAGTGTCCGGTCTGCAGCCCATGGGCCACATGCCAATTTTGTGAGGACATTTTTTGCTTATCTGTGTTGGATATCATGAAAAGTATATTGAATGCACTGTTTCTCCCTTAGACCCTCATTTAGCTTGGTTCTTCAAGTTACTACATGTATAATGTTTGCTGCTGGTCCTTCCTTAGGCTTTTGTTTCTCTAGATATTTTGATGCCTGAACCTTTTTTTTTTTTTTTTGTTAGATTCCTTGGAAGGACTCATGGGAGCAGTATTTCTTGAGTTCTTTCATGTGGCTAATAGTTTATCATTGATCATTATATTTAGAAAGTCAGCTTTGCTAGATACAAAATCATAGGCTCGTGTTTATTTCCTTAAATGTCTTAAATACTCTTCTTCTTTCATAAAGCATTGTGTTGACAAGTTGATAATTAATTTTCTTCCTTTTACAAATCACATGCTCTTTTTTCTATCTACCCAAAGGATTTTTTTCCCTTAAAGGTTAGTAATCTTACTAGAATATATCAGTATTGGTCATTCTAGGTTAATATTCTCAGGTATATAGTAGTGTGCTCTTTCAGTATTAGTTTCAAATCTTCTACCCCCCCCACCCATCACCTAGGACTTTTTCCTGAATTACAGGTTTTGGCATTTTTTCTGTTCCCTTTCTTTGGCTTTCTTCTTCCAGGGACTTCTACTATTTCCACATTGGGTATTCTTTGGGTATCTTTAGTATTAGAACTTAACTGCAAATCTTTTTTTTACCTCTTCCTTTCTTTTTAAATTTTAAAAATCGTCATGCTTTTTCTTTCTATTTCTCTTAAGTCATTATTTGTTATGTTCAATGCTTTTGTGTTCCTTCTAATTTAATACTCATTTTTCAGATGGCTGTTTTCCTATTATGCCTAATTCTTTACTGAGCTCTGCTTCAATAGAAGTACCTGGTGGCTTTTTA